TTATCTTAACTCCACTTCAGAAATTTATAATTATACTATTCAACTAAAATTATTTTACGCCTTCATATTATTAACAACATATCGATTTACTCAGTGTTTTTAATTTAGTAATAAATTAGTTTAAAGAAATGTTAAAAGAATATTATAATAAAATCTTTTACCCATCATTTTCGTTAGAACTAAAGAAAAGTTTGTTTAAATTCGAATAACTAAACACTTTGAGGGATATATAACAAAAAAACCTTTTCATTCACAAAGATAAATATTTAAAATATGTATTTTAATTTATTCAACCTTTAAGGGATCAGGTTGTGCCTCCTATGCCAAACCTTGCTGCATTTCATTATGTTAATAAAGCATTTAATTAACGCACCATTTATGGCCATCAACCCAATCGAATGCAGTTTACTTTCCTGGCCTCCGCTTTGCCCCTTCCGCATCCTGGTCGATCCTTTCCGCTGCTTGCTTCTCCGCCGAGATCCCCATCCTCATTCACATCTCCATTGTGGTGCGTGCAGCGTATCTGAAGGCAAGAAAGGGAAAAAATTGCCGACACAGCTGCGGTTTAGGCGGCATTATGGCTAAGACCGCACAAAAAAAGAAAAATATGCGGTAACCGCAAATGTTTTGCTGTAATTTCTGGTGTTTTTGCTTAAACGCTTCGATTCGGATTCGATATGCCTCAGATACATATACTGATACGGCTTTTAAGATACACTTTCAATGCTCTTGGCCTTTTGCTTTTTGCTCCAGCGCCAAATGACATTGAAATGAATAGGGTTTTTTCTTTGAATGCTGCAAAAAGTTTATCGGTTGATTTGGCATATAGGAGGAGGTTCTCGAAAGTTTTTGTTATTATTTTCGACATTGATTTGCCATGGGAATTGATATATGCAGCTGAGATCTGAACCTTATGAAATCAAAAATAGTATGGATATATTAACTCATATAACCTGAAAAACACGAAACAATAAGAAAGCATTTTAGATATGTCAGTGAATTCTTACTTTTACAATAATTATCAACTATCAAATATCGAGGTTTTTAGTTTTATTATGTGTTATATCAATGCATAATTTATATAAGTAGAGGTATAATAGAGGATGCTAAATAATTTATATCTGTCAAATATTGTTTATTATCGTTGAATTAGTGAATGGGTTTTGAATACGTAGAAGAAATTATTTCCGCTGATGTTTTAATATATGGTGTGAGAATATAAAAAAAAGATCTATCAGCGAAACAATGTAATACTTCCCCTAAATTGCCACCTGTTTTAAAACTGGTTAAGTTTTTGATAAGTATAACCATAAATATTTATTTTATTGGCCTCCCGTTGGCCGGCGTCCCATGAAGCTTTTACCCAAATCCTTCCAGTTCTCTCTTCGCCACCCAATCCTAAGTAGTTTTCTATGTCAACCGCTCACATTACCCACCCGATTTGGCGGCATTATAACCATTTTCCATATTCATACTTTAAGCCCATACGCACAACTTCTCAGCTGTCATGCGAAACAATGATAATTTCCAAACCAAAAACTGGCTTCCACAGCTCCCATCCTCCAAAAAAATACTCGAATGAGTGAAAAAGGAAACATTTTGGCTTTACCGTTAGCCGACTATAACCCATCAATTATATTGTAATGATGTCTGGCCTTAGCTACTTCTGCTGCAGTCGCATCTTCAGAAATCCTGAGCAGGAATGGCAACTGGGCAACATGCTCATTATCAACGTCATCATTGGGCGGCCAATGAGGGGGGGGAGGGGGCATTAGAATGTGGCCCGAGTCACAGACCATTCGAGTTCGAAAAGGAAAACTACTTATAGCACTGATGAGAATCGCGCCCGCCGTATCCACGCAGCTTCCAACTGGCTGACACTCGCTTCTGCCAATCGATGCACTGAAAGAAAGTATTAGATTTCGCAATAAGAGGTATCACCCAAAACCCAGCACTTGCAAACAATATATTCCTAAGATTATATCGTGATATAAGTAATAAAACTATAAGTATATGATAATATAAAAATGACTTGAGGTAAAGTGATTTCATTATGTTGCAAGTTTTTTTTACTCAATAATTAATATTCAACAATCGTTTTATCCTAATGAATATATTCTTAATTTATTTTGGATGATCCAAATGCAAGATTTTAGTTCTTAGGAGAAATGAATTCTTCAAGTAAGACATTTTCTAGGTAGTAGGTTTTGAATCTAGTCCAAGGTATTTGCGAAATTAAGTATATATTTTGACTTATCTTCAAGTTGCGAATGTCAAAATAAAATGTTATAAAGTGTTATCAAGCTAATTTGAAAACAAAAATAAATAAATATATTTCACTTCTTAAATATCAAACAAAGCTTATTTTATATAAAGATTTATCTAGGTTGCCTGATATTTTATTATTATGTACAAAAAAGAATACCTAGGAGTTTAGTATGTTAAATTATGAACAATATTCTACTTTTCTCAGTGTGCCCTTTGGAACTTTTTAGCCGTTGTAGCATTTGCATTCGAGTGTCCACTAAACGTCAATTAAGTGGGCTTTACCCACTACTCGCGCTGGTTGGGCAGTTTGATTTGGTCGCCACTCCTGCTCTAACCTCCTTCAACCTCCTCCCTGGAAATCTTCAGAAGATTCAGAAGTTTCAGAAGTTTCAGAAGTTTCGCTCCAACTGCGATTTCCACTTTGCCCAGTACAAATACATAACATAACATAACATAACATGAAGTAATAGCTATAGCAATATTGTGTACACAAGGCTTTTGAGGTTGATTCGGAGGGGACTTGAAGGGGCTGTCTAGGCGGGCAGAATCACCATCGCCGGCATCGCCGGCATCTTCGTTGTCGTCATCATCTGCATGTGTGAGCCTCTCCCACCGACTCCTCCAGTGGTTTTCCCAGTGGTTTCGGTGGTTCCGGTGGTGCGGTGGCGGTGATGGCGGTGGTGGCGGCTTCCTTTGTCATTTCGCCATGACGCATGCGTAACGTTCGATTTGATTCAATTAATGGACGGGAATTGTCTGTACGTGTGTTTTGATTGGGTTGGGTTCGCTTTGGTTTGGTTTTGGTTTTGGTTTTAGCATTGGTCTGCCTTTCTTTGCTTTGGTTTGTTTGTGGTCCAAGCAGACAGCGGGGCAGACATTTCAGTTGCATATGGTTGGATATGTGGATGGATTTTAAATCGGAGATGTAGCAGAAGCTGAAGTGCTGTGCAAACACAGGAAGTTTAGTAGACTCACCGGCATGGCAAGTGGAGTTATACGGAGAAGAGCCATGTTCTTAGGATTTATCTAAAATAATTATACTTGATTACAATGTAAAAGATAGAAATAAATTTTTTAAAAGACTTTTAGTAAATTGAACTCACAGAAAAGAATTTATTATTATTAAGAATGAACTTATTGTTATATTTGGGAAACATAAGTTTAAGACTTACTTAAAACAAAGTACTGCTCAGAATTAAGGCTTATCTACAACAATTTAAACAAAAGAGTTCTTACTTTGAAAAAAATTAAAATTATTATAATAATTTAAAATCTACTGGGTGCAACGAAGTGTACATATTTATTAATAAGTTACTTGTGTATAAGCAACACTAAATAGATAAATTTAGAATTAGTTTATTGTTTCTCTTTAAACAACAAACAGAAGTTTCAGGCCAACCCAAAAAACAAGTTTAAACAAAAAAAATATATTTTTTAAGCACTAATTTGAAAATAATAAATCTCAAAGCATCTGCATTCCAATTACTGTGTAGTCTAAATAAATGGAAGCTCCAGCCCCGATCATGATTAATTGCAAATTCATTTCAAATACGTTGAGCATCAATCACGAAATTCCAAATACGCCCCTCAACCAGGCCCACTCGCTCATTAAAACTAACCACTCATAATGATAATCTTTAAAACTAAACGCCCGCATTGTCGCGTCAAATGTATCTGCATTCAACGAAAAAAAATGCATTTTAATCTTTTCTTCTGACTGTCTCATCATATTTTCCATAGTCACAGCTCCACAGCTTTATTTGTTAAGTGCGCAATTATTTATAGTTATTTTTTGCCAGCATCTGGAGACGCCAACGCCAAATGGCGGCAGCTGGGAGTTGCTAGTTGGCAGTTGTTAGTTACCAACTACCAACTGTTGTCGCTGCGGTGCATAATAATACCAATTGCTGTTGCTGGCGTTTGACGTTCGTCGCAGCAGCAATTAACAATTTTTAACCTTGTTGTGCATGATGCATGTGGCTGCGAGAGCACTCCGATCATCCCCTGATCCGCTGATGATGATGATGATCATTACGATGCGATGAGATGCTGATGGTGATGCACTCGAACGGTCGCATAAAAAGCTGTTAAATGTTTTTTGATTTTCGTTTCACGTCGAGTGCTCTTCGATTTTGCAATTAAATCGGTTTCAATTTCGAAGCGTTCCGTGTTTGCAAATATGAGACATCATCGACCCCATTTGCATAATCGATTGGTGATTGCAACTGCTGTCATTTGGCATTATTAATTATGAAAATTTTATTTGACTTTCAGTGATGGCAAGGCATACGCTATCTTAATTTATGGATCATTGCAGCAATTCGATATTCTCGTTAGCATTTCACAAATCTTTGACATCCATGGGTCGCCTGCTAATGAAGTGCGCATTTCGCAAATGTTTTTCCATACTTTTTTATGGCTCTCAGCACTCAAACCATTTAATTTCTCATTTAAAATTAACACGAATTCCGAAAGAGCTTACTGGAATACCTCACATAACATTTACCCTCTTACCCACAGCAACTCCACTCACAGCAGCAACATCAACGCATCACAAGTGCAATCAGAGTAGCGTGACTTGTTGTTTGATTGTTGCTGCAAAAGTGAAGGTTGAAAAAGCGAGAAAGGCGACAATTAATGCTCTAATAAAGCCAAAGAAAGATGCAACACGAGCAGCAGCAACAGCAGCAGCAGCAGCAGTAGCAGCAGCAACATGCGACAGCAGCAATTTTAGTTGCAAGTGCAACATCTGCCACAGTCGCCGCGCGAATTTCCGTTAATAATGTTGTCAAAGCGTTCCGATGCGCTGATAAGCGCTTTCGTTTTGACGCTCTATTATGTGGGCGTGGCCGCTGGGAACGCATCAGACTTTGTGACAATGGGCGATCTGCGCAGGAGCAGGCGTGGCCAGTTGCATTCCTCGCGTCCCGGTGGCATGATAATGGAGGGCGTCGGATTCCAATACACCATGCGGTTTCAGCCGGGCTTCCACCTCCACAATCTGGCCCAGCAGCAGGGGGAGGGTGGGGGAATGGACGGTATGGACGGAATGGGAGATGGCGCTGTGACGGAAGCACCAATGCCCATGCCAACTCCTGGGACACCGCCTCCAGAACCAGCTACCCCAGAGCCAGAGGAACCGGAGCCCACGATACCAACCCGTCCCACATCCGCACCAACTGAGGTACTAAGTTATTAAATAAGACTAAGACTTCTTGAAACATGAGTCCAAACTCAATTTTAAAATAGGGTGTAAAGTTCTGTTATTATTAAAAGAACAAAAAATAGAAAGCCCACTGTTGAGTCTGGCCTACATTTGTCAAATTTTGCTAACCTATGGACTTAATGATATCTAATAGTGATTAGGATTTTGAAAAATATACAGCATACAAATTTGAAACAGTATCGCGAACAGTAAAAACTGAAAACGTTATATTGCATTGAAATTTATTTAATATCTTTGATAATTTTATTTTTATATTAAATCGTAATTTATGAATCTAAAATTCTTTGCTCATTTGTTATAAAAGATGACGATACTAATTTTAGAGTATATTAATTTATTTTTTAATTTTAAGTATAAGTCAAGCCAAATAATTGTAGTTACATGCTGTTTTATAAAAGATATCAATTAATAGAAAGAGGTACTCACAATAATTAAACTATCCATACACCTTAAATTTTTTCCATTCCCGTTTTTAGGTACCCTCACCACCATCACCACCATCACCACCAACAACGGATTCGATGATGATGATGCCCACTCCGACTGCTAGTCCCCGGCCCAGTGTGAAACCGTCGGTGAGACCGCCAGTGCCCACGCCACCGTCCAGCACCATGAGCTCCATTATGCAGCCCCATCAGACCCTGAAGAAGCTCCTCTTCGGGTCGCCCATCGAGGCGAATCTCATCCTCAAGAAACCCAATGCACCGCGTGCGAAGGGCAAGGGCTTCCTCAGTCTGTTCGAGGTGATCAAGTTCCCCAATACGAAGTGCAGTGTGTCCATGGGCGACATACGGAGCATGGAGGGTGTCTGCTACCACGAGTTCGAGTGCAAGAGCCTCGGGGGGATTCCCACCGAGAGCTGTGCCGAGGGCGTGGGCGTTTGCTGTGTGTGTGAGTGAAAGTCCGCCGATCGACTTGGCCAAGATCTAACGTCTAACGTCAAACATCTAACATCTTTCATTTGCAGTCGTCAATGGATGTGGCGATGTCACCAGCCAGCAGATCCTCTACTTCGAGAGTCCCAACTATCCAAATGCGGTGCGCGAAATGATGATCTGTGTGCTGATCATCAATGTGAAGAAGGGAGTGCAGCAAATGAGACTGGATTTTCAGATGTTCGAGGTGGGAGTTCTAATTTAACGTTCTTAGTGCTAAGCTCAATTGATTTTCCATCCTCATAGCTAAGTCGTCCCACAAATGGTGATTGCGTAGACGATCAGTTTATAGTCTCGGGCCACAATACCAATTTTCAAATTCCCATTCTGTGCGGCATCAACACAGGCCAGCATAGTAAGTTGTTCCATGCTAATGACAAAATTATTAAGGAACACATATTTAAATTTCCACGAATTATTTGTACTTTTCCATGCTAATAGTGCAAACTTTAAAATTAAAACAATCAGAGTACAGTAGATTCCAACAGAAATTTTAATTGTTTCCATTAAATAACATTGTGAAGATTTTATTTGGTAAATCAAATTATTAACATATTTAAAAATGTCGCCAAACTTCGGATATAAGTTTGTGTGGGACTTTTGAACACCAAAATATCTCGGAAAAGTACACACTTGTGGAATTATATTAGCTGTCTACCTGTCTAATTATACAGATTTATTACAGTGTATATTCATGTTGGCGACTCAAACGAGAACAAAGTGTATCTCTCGGTATTTATGAAAGTCTCTGGTGGAGGACGTTCGTTTAATATCAAAGTCAATCAGCTGGACGACGACCTGGCTCCTAATAATTGCCTGCAATATTTCCCTGAAGCTGAAGGACTAATAAAATCCTTTAACTACGATACAGATGGTTCCATTGTAGACAACCGAGAAGCTACTTATTTTGTAAGTTATAAATACAATTAATAATTTAATTAACTAAACGACATTTATATGCTTTAGAACAATTTAAATTATGCCATATGCCTCGCTCGCTTGAAGAATGTGTGCAGTGTCAGCTATAATACAGAGCAACTGGGGGGCGATCAGCCAGACTTTCAAATCGTCAACAAAGATGAGGGTAAGAGAGATTTAAATTAAACCATTAAAAAAAGTGCCTTTATGTTTAACAAATATTGAGTTTTTGCCATGGCTCAAAGCCGAAAACGATTTGATATCCGATGGCCAGGCGGGAGCTGGGATATTCAACTGCCCGGATGACTTTATAGCCATCAATTCGGTGCCGCTTTGCGGGGAGCGGTTCAACGATGGTCGGGACAGCGACGATTTCACCATGCACGCCACCGTTAGGGACACCGCCGCAGGTCCCATCGTCCTGCCCTTCCGCACCGATGCCGAATATGTGGGTCGCGGCTTTCGCCTGCTCTACAGACAGGAACTGTGTGCCTGAGACGAGACCCATCTGCGATCTGCATGTCGATCACTAGTTCACCAGATGCATATGTTCCGCTGACTTTGGAATTGACTTTGCAACACCGTTGTTTGGCTTTAAAACACTGGGGAAAAAGACTAACAAAATCAAGGAATTTCGTTACTAAATACCTGATGTAATTAATTGAAGAATAAAGAGAACAGTAACATTAATAAGTTTAAGTGCCCAAAGGAGCTCTAAAAACTTTTTAAAAACTTAGCTCTATAAAAAATATTCCTTTAAAAACCATAATAAAATGACAACAAAATTAAACTAAAAATCTAAGAGTTTCATGTTGGTTGTGTGTTTTATTAAATACATTCTGAAAATAAAATTCCTTGATTATAGAAAAAATTGTTAGCTAAAGTTCTTTTTCAAGGGCTTTTTTTTTTAAATTAAGGAAATTTTTCCTTAAACTAATGAATTTTAAATTCTGAGTGTGCCATCAATAATCAGAAAATATTAAACTTCATTTAAGATTTAATATATTAATATTTAACATAGTATAAATGGTGATCAGTTTAATTCTGACGGTATGTGGCCGACCTATAGTAGTTTCTCTCAGTGTTCATATGGAATTTAGCATGCTTTGGTCAACTGCAGGGCATTCGGGTTGGCAACTTGGGATTGTGCGCGGTGCCTTTATGGGAACGACAGTTTCCGTTCCCAGTGCTGCCCCCGTGTTAATGTGTTTTATGTGATTCAAAGCGTTTTGGTGGCTTAGTTTTGGCGCCGCCCACCCACCGACTGGGCGGTCCGCGGGTTCGTAGTTCACACACATTATACACAAGGGACCACAGCCGATTGGCGTTGGTGTTCGTTGACAGGTTTATTTCAAATTTGCACGTCTCGCCTGGGCAAAAGATACGATCCGATACTATGACGAAATCTATAACTCGCCGCATCGCCATTGCCATCGCCATCGTCGCCGTTCGCTCGATTCGCGGTCTCTATGCTTAAATTTGTAATAAATTTGATTTTTTCCTTTCGATTGCGATTTTCCCTTGGCTCGGATTCGTTTGCTCCGCTGCTGCATGATAAAGTCACAATTAACCCACGCCTTTTTCGTAGCGGTACTCTTACATATATTTGCATATCATTTTGATTGTTTGGATTCGGGCTGAACTCTCGATGCTGTCGCTGACATGGTGATGACTAAAAGTGTGCAACACCACCACCAGCAGTACCAGCACCAGCAGTACCACCATCAGCACCGGCAACAACAACTAGACCAAAGCAATCATGAAAACGACAACAAAAATTACTTCTCGACCAACAATAGAAAAAAGAAGAGGACAACCAAAAAAAAAATGGCATATTGCATGCACAAGTTTTGAAGTTTGTCATCAAATGACGTTTTGGGATACCTTGGACAACTTTATGTGGCACTGTGGAAAAGGGTTTTAAGCTTCAGATAATATATACACTTTGGTTCAGATAGCGTTGAGATTGATATATTTATTTGATTTCGATAGAAATACTCTTCCTTTGCTTATTTTTAGTACTTAACAGTAATTTTCTTTGTCATACAAATTGGGTTCAAACATAAAAAAATAATATTCTGTAAAATTATACATACAAAAATTAAGCACATATTAAGCCTATATTAAGCCTTTTGGGTATAACAATATTACCAATTTAGGTGCTAGACTATCTCCACTATAATTCATTCTGGTACAGTATTATCCCTCATCTATTACCCTTTCTAATCAATGGTAACCCTCTTAATCATCTTAAGCCCACTGTGCCCTCGGAGCCCAGCAACACTAACATAAATAAATAAAACCGTAAAGCCAAGAAAAAAAAATGGTATAAAATAAAAATCCCTTCAGGGCGTAACGTGCACTACATTAGAAATTGAAAATCCACCGACGCCGCCGACAACAACAGCAAGTCCAATGACTATGACGATGACGATGTGGATGTGGATGTGAATGTGGATGTGGATGACGATGACTACGAGACGAGGACGTCGACAACCAAGACGACATCGAGTCAAAGACAACATGAGAATCTTTTTTGCCATGGCAAACCGAAAAAACACAAAAAGCGCCGTTTGATGGAAATTAGGAAACTGAAATTCATTTTTGAGGTTTGGTTTGCTTTTTGGCCGGGTCTTGTCTGTTTGGGGGTGTGGGAACCACAGGGAAATGCAGGCGAGCGTGCATGGCAACGCCTTTTGTCACAGTTGCGATTTTTGTTTTGTGAGCAGACCGCCAGCATTTGCATAATTTAATCAATTCGGAATGAGACAAAGGGTGAAAACTTTTCAGCTTCAATCCTGCCCGATTGCCTAACATCACGGCCTAAACAGACAGCCAGAGATCTCAGGAATCGGGTGTTTTAATTGCAGACACTGCGCGCTGGAAAACGGCCAGCCACAGTCGACAGTCCACAGCAGTCCATTCAAGGCATTCGGTTAGCATGCCAGAGATCCCAATCGCATTCGAAATCGCCATCGCCATCGCGGAACAGATCAATACGGAGAGTGGGACACGGGACACCGCGAAGATTGGTAGATTGCACCGACAAAATATTGGCAAAAATGCCAATAAATTTTTGACAAGACATTATACAAATGCTAACTTTATTAAATGGCTCTTGGTCAGACCACCGCTTGAGTTCGTTAATGGTGGAGTTATCGTTGGGGGAAAATGCAATCGGCATGCGCCAACCAGCCAGCTTGAATGAAGCGATCAACTGGACTCCAACTCATTCTTATCGCTGGGAGTCTATCTAATGAGCTGGCGATTTTTTTCCCGCATCTGCAATCAATTTATTAGCCAACCGGACAGTTGATCATTCGGCTTTAATGATCGTGTAAACGGCATGAGGTCCTGTTGGAGTTCAAAAGGAGTCGTATTTGAATGTTGCAGTTCTCCTTGGGGTCATAAAATGTTGCCAAGCTTGTCGTAATTTAAAGTAATTAGTCATTGCTGAATTAATGGCATGTCCATCTGACAATCTGGATTCTTTGGTTTCTCTTTTCTTTATGCGAACAGTTTAGGAAAGACTCTCGATCAATTGGGGAGCTTAATTAATCAATCGATGGTGGGTAGGCTATTTAAAAAACGATGTCATGAATAACAATAAAATTTTGAGCTAATTAAAGACCAGTGTATAAACAAGAAATACAATATGTATTATCCAACTCAATTTGAGAAAACTATAACTTTTCAACTTAGAACTCGAAAATTGAAATAAACTCGGTAGAGCTAATGCAACTGCTCAGTTTAGATGACCTAGCCTAACTATAATTTTAAGCGCAACTGAAAACCATTTGCTCAAACAAGTGACCTTTAACCCACAGGGCGAAGACAAAGCGACAATCATCTTGGGCGAGATTCGCAATGGATTATTATATGGGCACCCACTCAGCAGTATGGTTTTTAGTCTTTGAAGACTCGCCCAAAAGCCGAGTTTGAAGCCAGAGGAAGGTAGTAACCGAAGTGACACCAACACATCAAGTGAACATTTTATGATTCACGCTTGCATTAAAATCTCATCTCAAAGTGCGGAAAACAAATCGTACAAAAGTCTAGGAAGGGGTACGGTTTTTGTTTTTTTGGCGGGCCAGGGGTCCAATGAGGGTTAAACAACGGACTCGGTGCGCAACTTCACGCCGTAATTAAACTGTCTTCGGTTGTGTAGTACAAGCGTTCAAGCATTCAGCCGTCCAAATCCATCCCATTGCCATTTAAAGTTTCTTTTACTTAACAGATTCCACTCCCCACCTTTTGCCACATGTGTGAGCGTCGTTTTTCACACTATTTTCAACTAATTTAACGATTTTGTTCGACTCAACGACGAATCGGTCCAGACCTGTACTCCCCACAACTCTGCCATGCGATTTTATTGCCGCTCTTTTAGCACATCCCACCCGGCCATTTACTTACATGTGTAAAAACGCAAAGTGCTTGCTGCCGGTAAAATTACAATGGAAATTGGCACATACGAGATTTTTCTCAGTTCCATTTTACATAACATTCACTGACCGTACAACGGGCATTGATTTATTTCAAAAGTTTGTACTGACTTGGGATGAAATATATTTTGAAAGTTACATAAGTCGCTTGTTTTTGTGGGGGTGTTAATCCATTTCATATGATTATATGTTTAAACTTAAAGTGGCAAAAATATAACTCTTTTAAAACGATAAAATGTGCTACTAGATAACTTCCCTATTTGAAAATAGTTTGAGCCTTTTTCAGGTAAAAAACGGTGTTTCTAATAACAAAGAATGGCCTAACCCCCCAAAGCACATCTTACAACTTTAGTGGCACATTTATCAAAACATCAACACCCGGCCAAAAAAGGAGCCTTCCAAATTTGCGGCTACCCATTTTGGAGAATATGTTGCATGTAAAACATTCGACGGCAGATAACAAGGGGCTGGCAAGTTCAGGAGATGGAAACTAAATGGGTTTCGAAGCTAGAGAGGAACAGACCAGGCCAGAATGTGCATAAATCGCGTGAAAAATGTGAAAGAAGAAACAACATTTTGACACCGAAAAATAAGAGGAAAACTCGGCGCGGCGCTGACTAGATGATGATTATGAGTATGAAAAATTAATGATAGTCACAGCATGGCAACAGTTGCACGCACACGAGAAAAAATAAAATAAAAGGAGAATGAACGAGGGGGCAACGATGTAAATAGGCAGATTAAGCATACGCAACGTTGGCCACTTTGGCCAAGCCTTGTCAGCGTCAATTTTCCAAGGCTTATCCGTTAGTTACACACACAAACGGCCGAGTGCAGGCAATGGCAACAGCTTTCCACTCTCGGCATTTTTAATTTTTATTACCATTTGCCTGATTTTTGCATTCAGTTATGGCTCTTACTTTGCATTGCCACATTCTCCCCACAAATCTCTCTCTATTTCGCCTTCTCTCGGCGCTGCGTGCATTTTTCAACGGCTCAGTAGCCGGGTCACACAGCTAAACTTTCTTTCTTCCGCGATTCCCCATCAACTTTA